TTTATCGAAAAGTTGATTTTGTAATGTATAAACAAATACACACTCATCCCTGTGATAAAATAACGTGAAATGTCCGAAATAGGGGAGGAAAACCGAGGATGTGAAAAATTGTTATTTACTGAGCCGTAATGCAGATACTGTTGATTCCGTTGTTATGAGGGTGGGATGGGCCCCATAATCGGAGTGACAGTTGCTGTGTGATATTTCCGATGAGACGGGGGGTGGCCGTTAGTGAGCCGGGACTAAACTTCTGCACGAGCCGTCATTTCACGTATGACAGAACAATTCTGCAACAAGTGAAGCCGTTTATCTCCGGCCCACTCGTCTAACAGGACGAAATTTAAACTTATGCCAATTATCAATTTCATTTACGGGCTTTTGTCCAAACGGTTTTGGTTTTATGCAAAGGAAGTCGGATCCGCACAAAGCTTGTCGGCCCATGTCGACGAGATTTTTTTTCTTTTCTAGCAGGGTCGGGTCCATACTGGGGACAGACAGGTGTAGGACTTCCGAAGATATTTATGCGGTCAGCCTTTGTCGGGAGGAAGCAATATTTTACGCCCACTTGCATACGTTCTTACAAATGGTAACAGATTTTAACCGTTTCGAAGATTCTCTCATGGAATCTCACCCCCCTTCCCCCAAAAACTATAAAAAATTACGACTGAAACAAAAATTGTTATTATTTATGTTATGAAAATTAAGAAAGATTTAACTATACTTAATGTTTTTTAAATAATTTTCCTGACGAAGATCAAATTCCGCTTCTATTCTAACCTGTGAAAACTGAGAAAATATGAGGAATTCTTTTAGTGTAAATATCTTTCATTGACCAATATTAAATTCTGTTCTTTTTTACGGTTAATTTATGGATAAGTTGCTTGCTAAAAAAAGGCAGTGTAATTTGTTAGACCGGGAGATAATATCCTCTCACTCGGGGCAAAACTGGTTAACTCCAAAAATAAAATTTTTCACAATTGTAATTTAAAAAAAAAATCGATACAAATTCAAGATTGGATTTTTTATTTTATTTTTCCTGTCTTATGAGAAGGTTTTCTTTTCGCTTTAATCAATTATACAGAGTGTTCGGCTACTCGTGTTACAAACTTTGCCAGTAGATTCTGCATTAAAAATGGAACTAAAAAGTCCTAATTGACTATGGTCCGAATCTCAATAGTTTCGTACTTTTTTTACTTTTTGTGATTTTTTTTAAATTTCAAGACCTTGCTTCAAATAAACAATGATAACACCAAAAAAAAGGTTTTGGACAAATCCGTTGATACCATTGAAAACTACGTTAAATTTGCATTAAAATATGATCAACACTAAACTTGTATAGCTTCGGAAAATGAGTGTTTTAATAGGGAGAACTTTGAAAAATAATATTTTTTTTTATGTTGAAAAACTTACTATGGTTTACTTAACAACTAAACTACTATTTCCAAACCTAGGGACCAGCCAATTTCAGAAAACGAACTACGTTTAGACAAGGGGCGTTGGTAGCCGCAACTGTTCAGACGTTGACACGGCGCTCATCACTGTAAGGTAAAGGTCCCGGGTTCGAATCCAGCGGCCCTGCTCGAACCCGACATTCAAGTGGGCCTTTTTTCAAGAACCCCGGCACCCTGAGGGTTGATATGACCGCTGTTGCGTGAGATGCGCCCTGTAGGTTTCAGAAAAACATTTTCTTTATCGTGCCAACGTTTCGACCTTTATTGAGATCATCTTCAGAGCCTTGTGTTGTCTGCATTTCAACAAAAAATTCTTTTTTTAGTGGGCTAATTGCTTTTTTAATTACTTTTATCAAAGATAAAGAAATTGATGAAGGAAAGGCAAAAACCGTGGTTAACGGATTGGTGAGGTGGAAAAATTAAAAAAATTAAAAACTTAAGAAATTTTGAATGATGAATTATTAAACGTTTTTTAGTGAAATGTAAATCTTATTCTACCAATGGGTTTATAAGAATGTAAACATTTATTTATTATATATTCACTGACAGGCAAAAAATTCCACACACTTGTAATATCACTTGATTTGGATATACTTTTATAATTATTCGGAGATCGCGAGATGCAGTCTCCGAATAATCATTGACTAACGGTCACTAAACACCACACTTATATTTTTATATATTGATCAAATTTTCACGTTTTTTAATGTTTATTAAGAGTCTTTGTCTAAAAAATTTAAAAAAATGTTAATTGCTATGGAAAATGAAAACAAAAAGACGGTCAGATAAAATTTGTTTTAGATTTTTAATTAATATTTCAATATTGCGTATTTCTTCCTCTTGCCTTAATTACATCTGGAAGACGCCTGGGCATACTTTCTTCCAGCCTGGAAATGTTTCTTTCCTGGAGGTTAACAGTAGAAGAGGTTTCCTGGTAATGTAGTAAAATCGGACGCTCAATCTACTGAAAGGTGAAAGATTAAAATATACGCCGTAGTAAAATCGGACGCCCAACCCACCGACAAGTAGGAAGGCATACTTTCTATCAGTCTGGAAATGTCTCTTTGCTGGAGGTTAGCAGTAGAAGAGGTTTCCTGGTAATGTTGTAAAATCGGACGCTCGATCTACTGAAACGTGAACGATTAAAATATACGCCGTAGTAAAATCGGACGCCGAACCCACTTACAACCAGAAAGGCATACTTTCTACCAGTCTGGAAATGTCTCTTTGCTGGAGGTTAGCGGTAGAAGAGGTTTCCTGTTAATGTTGTAAAATCGGACGCTCTATCCACTGAAACGTGAACGATTAAAATATACGCCGTAATAAAATCGGCGTAAAAGTTTTTAAGTAAAAGTATAAAGTTTTTCAACTTTGAAAAAACAATTATTGTTCAAAGTTCTCCCTACTAAAATGCTTATATCACGAAGGTTTACAAGTTTAGTATTCATCCACAACTTACTGGAAATTTAACGTAGTTTTCAACGGTATCAACGGTTTGTCCAAAACCTTTTAGTTTTGGAGTCATCATTGTTTATTTGCAGCAAGTTTGTGAAATCTTAAAAAATCAGAAAAAGTGAAATAACTCCGAAACTGTTGAGATTCGAACCATAGTTAACTAAGACTGTTTGGTTCCTTTTTGAAATTTTGAGTTGAAATTTTAATTTCAGTTTTGCCCCGAGGGTGCAGATTTCCGCCTACAGATGGACAGGCAGTCCAAAATGACTGCCAATTTGGTGTCTCTCCATAGGTCAAAGATAAATCTAACAATTTAAATTTATAATGACAACACAGGATAAAAGAGAAAACAAAATTGAACTAATTATTAATTATTATTTATGTTTGATGATTGTTATTAAGATGGAGTCATAACGTTTCGCCGTTAATCTGTTTTTTAATAGATTATCTCGTTATAAAGTTTAATTTTTTCTTATAAACAGAAACATTTTTTATTGATATTATTAAAATAATTCCGCCGACAGACCGACAGAGCAAGGCAGTCCAAAATGATCTCTATCGCCCAATTTGGCATCACCCCATAGGGCACATATAAATCTAACAATTTAAATTTATAATGGCAACAGGGTCAAAGAAAAAACAAAATTGAACCAATTATTAATTATTATTTATTTTTGATGATTGCTATTCAGATGGTAAGCCATAACGTTTAGTCATTCTGTTTTTTAATCGATTATCCCATTGTAAAGTTTAATTTTTCCTTAAAGACAGAATAATTTTTTTTAATATTATTAAAATATTTCCGCCGATAGACTGACCAACGGGGCAGTCCAAAATGATCTGTATCTGCCAATTTGGTATCACTCCACAGGTCAAAGAAAAGCCTTACAATTTAAATTTATAATGACCAACAGGGTAGAAGAGAAAATAAAATTGAACTAATTTTTGATTATTATTTATTTTTGATGGTTGTCATGGTAAGTGGCAAAGACCATTACTCTGTTTTTTACTTGATTATTTCATTACAAAGTTTAATGATTATTTGGAGATCGTGAGGTGCGGTCTGGTGTGACGTATGTTTAAAAAACATTTTCTTTATCGTGCCAACGTTTCGATCTTTATTGAGATCATCTTCAGGGCCTGGGATTTATAAACATTGTTTCAATTTTAAAAATGCATGCAGGATATGAAAAAAAATAAATTTATGCAATGCTAGAAAATTTTAGATTAAAAAAGATGAATTTATACAATGCTAGAAAATTTTAGGTTAAAAAAGGAATGAATTTATACAATGCTAGAAAATTTTAGATAAAAACAAATGAATTTATACAATGCTATTTTTTTCACATCCTACATGTATTTGTAAAATTCAAACAACGTTTATAAATCCCAGGCCCTGAAGATGATCTCAATAAAGGTCGAAACGTTGGCACGATAAAGAAAATGTTTTTCTAAAACCTACGTCACGCCAGACCTCACCTCACGATCTCCAAATAATCATTGGCTAACGGTTACTACACACCATACATAAAATTTAATTTTTCCTTAGAAACGAAATATTTTTTATTGATAATATCAACAAATCATAACGTTTGGCCATTAATCTGTTTGTTAATTGGTTATCCCATTGTAAAGTTTCATGTTTCCTTATAAATAGAATCATATTTATTGATTATTAAAATATGGAGTGCATAAAATTTTCCAAAAATATATTAATCCCTGGCGTATATAATGTATATAAAAACTTAGAAGTTTCAAAAACCTGAAAAATAATATCCATTCGAAATAGTACTATCTTTAAGCAAATAAGAATGTAGAAGGCTTATGTAACTAGTGTCTTGTGTTTCTTGTGGCAATATTTACATCACCTGTGTCTTGCCCTCCTGATAACGCTTTCGGTTTTGTTCAGCCCAACCGGCCACGAGTTCGGGATTTTCTTTGAGATTACCTAGGTAAATTGTTTTTTAAGTTCTTTTCCCGAGATTTCGACTCCCCCGGTGCACCGTTTATCGGCTAGCATGTAGAACTGTACTTTTTGAAATGATGGGAAAGACAAAATAGAAAACAATCTTTGTTTTTGTTTTATTGTCGCAGTGTGGGCAGAGACGACAGACTACAGGGAAAGTGGTCATATGGAACAGACGCAACTCAGCTTCCAACCTCCTAGGAACCGAAACAGGGATAGGAAAGGTGAGCAACAATAATAATTTAATGACTAAATTAATTTATTGATAGGCTAAAACCAAAAGTGTGATTATTATTTGCCTTTGCGAATGCTCACCTTTCCTCAATTAAACTTAAATGCTGCTTATTCTTCGAAACGAACGCATAAAAATTGACAATATACTTTGTTTAATTATTATTTAGTTAATTTATTTGAATTTTGTTTCTGAGGTTAAAAAAAGACTTCGTACTGTTCAAAATAGTATTTCCTTATTAAATATTAAAAAAATGAAACTTAAAACAAAGTTCAAGTTTAATGTGTAATATGTTCTTAACTGCAATAAATGAAATGAACTTAACTTTAAAAACAACTAAGCAGCTATAATTAACGGGTAATGAAATAGCTTTGTAATTACTTTACTGCGCTTTAATTCAGCAATCACATAGAATGGATTTGAACTATTTGGAAAACTTTCTTCCTAAAGAACAGAACAATCTTTTCTAAAAAGTGAATTGACGTACCTACTGGAGTAATTCATTTCTTCAATTCATTTCTATTAATTTGCTAGACAAAGCATTAATGGATTACATAACCATAACACAACCTATTATTTTTCAAAATCACGGAATAGAGCAGAATTATCTTCTCCAAAAATTTTATCATTTACCATAATTTTTATAGTGAAATTTCTTTTTTACAATTTATATTTTTCGAATTTTCTTTCAAACTTTCAGTATAGCAATAATCTTGATAAACTATCTATTCAACGCTGTCCTATATAATACCCACTTCTTACCCTTTTTAACCTTATTTTTTTTAAAAAAGAAAAATTATTCTTAAGACTAGTCTCTAGACTCTAGAGGAAGTTTAAGGGCATAATACTTCCTTATATCTACCTACGCAACGCTATCCTATACAATACCCACTTTTTATGCTTCTTGACCTTATTTTTTTAAAGAAAAATTATTCTTAAGAATAGTCTCTAGACTATTTAAGGGTATACTACTACTTTATACCTACCTGCTCAACGCTGTCCTATACAATGCCTAATTCTTAACCTTCTTGACCGTATTTTTTTAAAAAGAAAAATTATTCTTAAGAATAGTCTCTAGATTCTAGAGGAAGTTTAAGGGCATACTACTACTTTATACCTACCTGCTCAATGGTGTCCTATACATGCCTAATTCTTAACCTTCTTGACCGTATTTTTTTAAAAAGAAAAATTATTCTTAAGAATAGTCTCTAGATTCTAGAGGAAGTTTAAGGGCATAATACTTCTTTATACCTATCTATTCAACGCTGACCTATACAATACCCACTTTTTAACCTTCTTGACAGAATTTTTCTAAAAAGAAAAATTATTCTTAAGAATAGTGTCTAGACTATGGACGAAGTTTAATGGCAGACTAGTACTTTATACCTACCTGCTCAACGGTGTCCTATACAATGCCTACTTCTTAACCTTCTTGACCGTATTTTTTTTAAATGAAAAATTATTCTTAAGACTAGTCTCTAGACTCTAGACGACGTTTAAGGGCATAATACTTCCTCATACCTATCTATTCAACGCTGACCTATACAATACCCACTTTTTAACCTTCTTGACCGTATTTTTCTAAAAAGATAAATTATTCTTAAGAATAGTCTCTAGACTATGGAGGAAGTTTAAGGGTATACTACTACTTTATACCTACCTGCTCAATGGTGTCCTATACAATGCCTACTTCTTAACCTTCTTGTCCCTATTTTTTTAAAGAAAAATTATTCTTAAGAATAGTCTCTAGACTCTAGAGAAAGTTTAAGGGCATAATACTTCCTTATACTATCTATTCAACGCTGACTTATACAATACCCACTTTTTAACCTTCTTGACAGAATTTTTCTATAAAAAAAAATTATTCTTAAGAATAGTGTCTAGACTATGGAGAAGGTTTAAGGGCAGACTAATACTTTATACCTTCCTACTCAACGGTGTCCTATAAAATACCTACCTTTTAACCTTCTTGACCGTATTTTTTTAACAAGAAAAATTATTCTTAAGAATAGTCTCTAGACTATGGAGGAAGCTTAAGGGCATACTACTTTATACCAACCTACTCAACGGTGTCCTATATAATAACCACTTTTTATCCTTTTTGACCATATATATATATTTTTTTTTTGTTAAGAAAAATATTCTTAAGAATAACCTCTAGACTCTAGAGGAAGTTTAAGAACATACCTTATATAAAAATCATATCGTAAGGCCGTCAATTACGATTTGTCCAAAATAGTTCATTCTACATTTACACAAGTCCTTCACGTGTTTCGCAGGGTAGCGTACTCGCTCCCCTCCTATTCACAATCGACATGGCTGATCTATCACCCTAACACTTTCACCTTTACTTTTGCCGATTACACATCAATCACGTTAAAACCACATTAAATTTTAAAAATCACTTACACAGTAAATCCGTCTGTAGAAGAGTGGAGACTTACTAATGTATGTAAAAGAAAATTTAACAATAGAAAAATATAAAATAAATAAAAGTTAAAATTTTCAATTGAAATACTTCTGTTTTTCTATCATTGTGGAAAGTAGTTTACTAATTTTTTTTTCTTCGACTGCTTGGTAATCTTTTTCATCACATTCTCCCAGTTGCTACCATTGATATAACTAATAAATTCGTCCCACTCTAGATTTTTAAAAATGTTGAATCATCTTTTGCGATAATATATTAAAATCTAACTCTGTTTCGAAATTCTGCATGTTTTTTGTAGCTGTAGTTGCACTGGGCGCGCTTCTGCTGGTCCCGAGTTCTACTCAATGTAAAAATTTGAATTAGCATACTTCATCTAGAACTTGATAATCTATTGCATCAAAGAGACATTTTATTTCTTATGGGAAACTTTTTTAATGCTAAGTATGCATTCCTCGTTCGATCCCCCATACTGAAACTATGAAAACAAACTCACAAAATCCATCAAATTGCTGCTGTCGTAAAATGTTTCTAAGTTTAAGAAAATATCGGAAATTTTAGTAAAATTAATTAAATTTACCTGTGACAATTTTTTTCTTTAAATTACATACATTTTAACCTAAAATGTTAAGAGTTTAGTGTTACTCATTTTCACCATGTTGGTAGACCGTTTTTATATTTCTTATTTATTTTTGTCTTATTCTTCTCCCATGTTGGTCTGTACTTCAGGTTGATAAAGTCAGCATCGTGAGGCTTTATACATTCTGAACCTCTGTAGCTTCTCATTTTTCGATCTTTATAAGTAGGACTTATTTTTGTAATAATACCTGTGCCCTTTAACATTTTGGCATTTTTAATTAGTTGCTTCTCATCTAATGGCAAATTCTGCGAGAAATATGTTTTGTTTAACTTGACGAGGTCTAATTCCATGTGTCCTATGGATATTCACTCATAATCATTATAGACATAATTCGCTTATTGCTTCAGCCTTGTCTATGCTTTCATTTTCTCTCTAAATGTCAAAATTCTCTCCTGGATTTTCAATAATAAATGTTCCGCTTTACCTTTGTACCATTTTATATTATTTTATACAAGAGGAAGCATAAATAACTATAATGCAACATAATTATATTAGTGCAGAGTAAAAGAAATACGAAGAATACTGGAATCAAGCAAACCAGTCATATAGATTTTGCTGTCATGATGAAATTCCCTGGCCGATTATTACAGAAAAGCCACATTTAAATTAAAAATTTGGTCTTCTAAGAAGTTAAACTTTACAGTAATAAAGCGCAGGTACGATATTAAATTAAAAAACGCGCCGTTGTACAGTTTGCATATTTTTTCTTTGATTATCACACTTCTTACTTTGAATCAATATTGACAATTTATTGCTCATTAAGTCAAAATCAATTTGAAAAACCTTGATAATATTTTCTTTGGCGATCAATCAGCCTTCTCAGTTTAAATATTTTTTTTTCTTTCCAAAAGGTAGATTGGAGATGAGGCCAGGAAGACAGAAACAACATTTATTTTCTTGTCGAGCTTTCGGCAGAATATATCGCCTTCATCAGGACTCTGTATTAACAAATTAACATACGTAAATTTTCAAATATACAATTTTTAAAATTTTCCTTAATTACTAACTCCTGAGAAACAGAGTCCTGATGAAGGCGAAATATTCTGCCGAAAGCTCGACAAGAAAATAAATGTTGTTTCTGTTTTTCTGGCCTCATCCCCAATCTACCTTTTGGAAAGAAAAAAAAATTTAAACCTAGATAATTTATCTTCGGGTGAATGTTGTTTAACTTTAAATTCATTGGTATATGTGTAGTGAAATTTTTCTGAACATCCAATTTTCTTTAACCTTTGAGTATAACTGCTGCTACTTTTTCCCCCGACAAAAAAAACCTAATTTTAATTTCAAAATAACTTTTATTTTGTACCGTATTTTACTTTAAACTGTAGCCAATTAAGACCTCGATATTCCTCGGGCCTGGGTTAAGCAGCCCCTTCATTTCACTCTAATAAATTACTTTCATTCCAATTGGTCTATAAAATAATCCTTACCTCGAATTATTAGAAGAAACATTCGTTTTTATATGTAATTTTATATAACGTTTAATTGTAGTTGTAATTAATTTTCATGTGGTTTTATGCATAAGAATCGATTTTATATTTTTGAAAAATTCTCTATTTAAAAGAGCAGTTCTTTATTTTTCTATTTAATTTATAAGTTCTTTCAATTAATTAATCTTTATGTAAGGTAGTGGTTGAAATGAAAAAGTTAGTGTCACGAGCGAGATTCGAACCCAAGACCTTCGGCTCAATCCCCGCTGCACTAACCATTTGTCCAAATAAATCCTTTTCAATTAATTAAGTTTTGGTTTGAAATAAAAAAGTCTGTCACAACCGAAGTCACGATAGTTCAAGTGGTAGAGCAGCGGCGTACCTAGCCGAAGATCGTGGGTTCGAATCCCCCTGGTGACACTGACTTTTTTATCTCAACTAAATATTTTAGAAATTTATTTAGTTTTGTAATTGCTTTGAAGAGTTTATTTTCGAAA